TGGCTCTTCATTCTGGCTAAACACAGTCTAGATTTGAATTTCAGTCTCCTCCTGCTCCTGACCCTGTACCTCCTCTTTTTGCCTCATTTTTCCTCATCCAGCCCAACATACTACAACACTACAGAAGGGTAGTCTCCTCTTCTTAGGGTGTATCCTGCAGAATAAAAACAGTTTGATTCCACTTTAACTCCCATAACTGTATCCCACAGAGTCTTGGGATTTGTAGTTTGGTGAAGCACCAAAGCTCTTTGACAGATGTGGCTGAATACCTCACTGATCTACAAAACAGAGGATTCCATAGGAGAGAGTCATGGCAGTTGAAGTGGTGTCAAGCTGTTTTAATTGTGCAATGTGAACTGTCCCATTTTGTGGACAGTTTCAACTACTAATCACTTCCTGTCCACCTCCACAAACCACCAATTCTTTTTTTCTTTTCTTTGTCCTATGCATTTCTTAGGCTCCGGATTATTTATTTTTAATCATTAAATGTCATATCTCCACCTTATACCTCTCCCCTATGGTACTTTAAAATCTAGCAGCCCAGCCAGTACATGATAGTGTTCTTTTGACCTGTCTCTTCACCTCTGTGAAATAATACCCCTTCACCCAGGCTCTACCAAAACCTTCATTGCCATCAAATCATAATGCATTAATGTGTATGCATGTTCTTGAAAATGTAACTTTTTAAATGTACATGACTGTAATATGACTTCTATCCAAACAATAACAACATTAACAAATGTTTTCTCTTTTTTTATGATGCTCTGTATAAATGAATTATATAGAAGTTTGAGAACTACCAGTAAACATCACAACATTACCAAGAAAAATCCTTAGGGCTCATATGAAGTACTAGATGAACCCAAGATCCACATTATTGTAAAACTGTTGAAGACCATGGAAAAGGAGGGGCAGGCATCTGTGGTTCATAAGATGAGAATATTTTTCTACTGAAAGAGGACATCTGGCACATAAAAATATTGTTTCCTTTGTCAAAAGAAGTACTTGGGATGTTGGGTATAAACTAATAGCTCTGGGATATATTGTTGCATAATGTCTTTTTAAAGGCATTTTAAATAAGTGTGGTATAAATTCATTTTTTTTTTTTCTGAATTCGTAGTATTCCTGTGTTAAGTCAGTGTTGCAGTTATTACAGTGTAATTTTCTTCGGGGAGAACAGTGCAAACTTGTTTACCTTGCAATTGATTTTATTTGCCAAATTATATATCAAATTGTCCCATGGGCTTACTGAATATATGGGTGCTAACAATGAAAAATGTGCATAGTTTTAATACCAACTTTGTAAATTGCCTTAATAATAGCCTTCACAATGTAATAGTATTTTCAACCAGTACTTTTAATTTCTAGCTCATAAAGCCTTGTCATTGAACCCCAAGGGTGTAGCTATAAAAGTAAGATTTAATTTTATATATAATGTGACCTAAATTAGCTCTAAAGCAATAGGAGAAACATCCAGCTTCAAGAGATAAGACTGAAATTATTATAACTTGATGAAATTTCATATAGTAAAATTAATCATTATTTCTGCTTTAACATAATTTGATATAAAAATGTGACTAATATAGATCTAATCAGAGCACATATTTTAAATGACTTTTTATCAAATTATTATGGTTATGAGGGAGTTATATAAAAGTATGCTATAAAGATGTTGTGAATGCACTTCACTATCTCCTTTCCATGCCTTACTTCCCCTACCACTATGAATTTGTAACAAGATCTCATGCTCTCAAAAATTCCTTTTCATTTACACACATGTCTCTTTGAATTAAGCAGTGATCATTTTTAACAAGCATGTCTTGTTAAAATGAACAGAGTCATACAAGAGCTTCAGGTGGCTGTATTTTTAAGAGGAAAACCTGTGACCTTCCTTGGCTCTTGGGGAAATATAAAAAATGTATTCTAAGCTACTTGCAGAACACTCCAGATATTGGCTCAGCCCTGAATTAGGCTTGATGTCATTTCCATCTATGGTCCTGGCAAACATATTTTTTATAAAATTAATGCCATAGGTTTGGCAAACTCAAATGAGACTATGGTATGGTTTAATCCCTACCAAGGTATTGATCCAAGCTACATGGTTCAGTTTGGATTGGGACCATAGGATGATTAAAGGGTTCAAAGTCCCCACTATGATGCCATGATTACTGATTCTATTTAAATTTTGTTCAGACTTGCAGTTTCTCACGTATTTTTAAATATAAAATGCCATGCCATTTTAAAAATACCCACATGGATTTCCCTTGCAAAATAAACAGATTTCTAACTGGGATTGTCAGACTGTAAATGTTCTGAAGCAAACCCCATATTAAATATAGTGCATGTCATATCTAAAATGGTTTTAGATTAGGTCCACTTAAACCTCCAATTCTGACCCCACCCATTTGGAATCTAGATTAATTTTTTGGACATCTACTAGATAACCGTAAATTGGTCCAGTTCTACAGATTTGTTGATGAGGTGGATTTGAATTATCTATCTACATAAAATAAAAGATACAATTGGTCCTCCACATCCAAGGATTCTGCATCCAAGGATTCAATCATCCAAGACTTGAAAATATTCCCCCCCCCCAAAAAAAAACTCCAAAAAGCAAGCCTTGATTTTTGCCATTGTATATAAGGGACACCATTTTAGTATGCCAGAGTTTATAATGTATACACAGAGGTACTCAAACCAAACCCCAGTGGATACCAAGGACCCAGTGTATGTACGAGCAGTTGGTCAAGCAAATTGATCCATAGCATTGAATAAAACGCTAAGTCAATTGCAAACAAAATTCAACTGCAATCAGCACAGATATTTTATGTTATTATCAAGCTGTTAAATTAAACAGATTTGTTCATGTAACTAAATTCTCCAAAGAAGAATATTTTCTTTAACTGTAGCACATAAGCTCTGAGATTTATGCAGTTATGCATTCATCATAGATGCCACCATTTTGTTAGAGATCTAAAAGAACAGAACAAAATGGCAGCTGCAGCTTTCTACCTAATAAAACCCCACATAAGCTCTGATTATTGACTTTAAGGGACAATCACTGTAAGTCTCTGTACTCAGGAGAGCTTGTATTTGATTGCTGAATCAAAGTCAAGCTCCAAATAGAAGCTGATATGCGGGGGGGGGGGGGGATTTATGACTCACATTTAAATAATATATTGCAGAAAGAATGTGCCAAAACCAATGGAAGCCCTTTTTTTAGTTCATTAATCAGTATCTCATAAGTGAGAAGAATGGAGAACTATTAGTTAATAGTGAACAACTGTTATGTGTTTCGTTTTAGAACTCTGAATAACTCTCATCTGTTTTTATATGGCTTCAACTTTTCTCCAAAGGTTTACATCAAAGTTGGTTTAAGTTGACACACTTATTAAAAGTTGCAAAGGAGCTTGCTTTTCCCCCCTATTCTTCTATTTAATATTTTGATATTCCTGAAAAATTAATAACTTTCTTTATGTGACTGTATTATTAAAAATCAGTTTCAGATATATTAGTTAGACTTTGGATATTACAGAGGAGCATAGTTCTAAACTTTCATGAACCTTGGCTAGTGTATATATTTTTATCACTTCATTTTTGACAAGTCAAAACTAAAGCATAACATTTACACATTTCATGACTAGAGGTTACCAGTATTTGAATTGATTGCCACAAAACTTCACAAAATTAATAACTGCCAGTCTCCCCACCACATACTGCAAAATGAAGTCCCAGGCACGATGCGTGATGCAAAACAATGACTGGGTTGATCATTTACTGATAAATACTGATGAAATGGAGAAGTTTTGCTGTTTTTAACTCCCCTTCTCCTTTTTGCTTGAACTGTGAACTGTATGAACAAAAGATTCAACCATTGAAAAAAATACTCTTTCCATCATAGGAAGGAACCATTAATATCCAGTCCATTGAGTAATCTGAGAAAATCCTGACCTCCCACAATCCAGAAATAAATATGAAAAATTAACTCCTGCTCCTTAAATTTGCTTTCAGATTATATGTACAGGCTGCACTGGACAGGGGAAGAAAAGCAAAAAGTATTAGCATTTACCAGTTATGTTTCTATACCACTTCATAGTGAACTTAGCACTCTCTAAGCAGTTTACAATATGTTAGCCAATTGCCCCCAACAAGCTGGGTACTCATTTTACTGACCTATGAGAGGATGGAAGGCTGAGTCAACCTGGAGCCCTTTGGGATCAAACTTACAACCATGTGGCTGCAGTACCAGCATTTAACCACTGCACCACCTAAGTATACAAAGTATATAGCATATCAGTGCACTCAAGCACTCCCTAAGCCAGAGGTAGGCAACCTTTTTGAGCCAGGGGCCGGGTTGTTGTCCCTCAGACAATTGGGGGCGAAGCACCAGAAACAAACAAACAAACAAACAAATAAATAAATAAATATAAAAATTTAAAATTAAAAAAATTAAAAATTAAAAAAATGCATGCACACTCTCTCAGCCCCAGAAAAGCCATGGCAAAACCCCCTGTAGGGATTTTGCCAAGAAAACCCCAAGAACAAGTAATAACATTAATAATCAA